GTTTGACTCTGATTTTCTATATGTAGGCCTATGTGGATTCCGAATCTCTGCATGTAGGCCTACATGGATTATTCTGATTCTGACTTTCTATATGTATTCTATGTTAATGATTTAATAGATTCTAATTCGGATTCTTCTCCCCCTCCCCCCCTTACAGCGCGAGGCCATGAGTGATGGTTTGGAGTCACGGGCGTGTGGCGGCGGGGGCGGCGGTGGCGGGAGGAGCCGGAGCTGTAGCGGGCGCCGCAGTGGTAGCGGTAGCGGTTTTAGCGGCTGTAGCGGTCTTAGCGGCGGGGGGCGCGGGTGCCCTGAGTCCGTGCCCCGTCAGCGAGTACACCTGCGACAACCTGAGATGCGTGCCCAAGAACCGCGTGTGTAACGGAAGAGACGACTGCGGAGACAAATCGGACGAGAAACCCAACTGCACACGTGGGTCGCTGGGTTTGACGTCTTTTTCTCTCTCTTACTCTTTCTCTTTCTTCTCTTTACTCTGTCTCTGTCTCTCTGTCAATCTGTCTGCCTGTCTGTCTGTCTGCCTGTCTGTCTGTCTGTCTCTCCCTCCTCCCTTCTAATCTCTGTCTGTCTGCCTGAATGTCTGTCTGTCTGCCTCTCTCTCTCTCTCTCTCTCTTTCCCCTCCTCCTTTCTGCTCTCTGTCTGCCTGCTTGTCTGTCTGTCTGTCTGTCTGTCTCTTTCTCTCTCTTTCTCTCTCTCTCTCTCTCTCCTTCCCTCTACTCTCTGTCTGTATGCCTGTCTATCTGTCTCTCTGTCTCTCACTCTCTCTCTCTCTCCTCTACTCTACTCTCTGTCTGGCTGTCTGTCTTTAATGATAAAGATGATGATAGTGAAGATAAAGATTTCAGTAATTATAATGATAACGGTAAAAATGATGATAATCATAGTTATGATAATGATAAAAATGATGATTTGGTAGTAACAGTAAGAATGGTGATAATAATAATAGCTTTAATGAAAATAATAATGATAATAATAGCGCTAACAATAATGATGATAATAATAATGATGATAATGATGGTGATGACGATGATTGATGATGATAATAATGATAATAATAATAATAATAATAATAATAATAATAATAATAATAATAAGATAATAATAATAATGATAATAATAATAATAATGCTGCTGATGATGGTAATAATAATAATAATACTGATGATAATAATAATGATAAAAGTAATAAAAATACCAACAATAATAATAATGATAGTAGCGATAATAACAATTACATGAGGAGGCGAAGAGGGGAACATTTAATATCCCTTTTACGCTCTCATTATTATCATTCTTCCCTGCTCTTCATCATCCTCTATGACAGAATTACCAACAACACAAAAAGGACTAATAGTGTGCTCTATCCCTGCCCCCTCTCCCGTCTGCAATTATATTTTATATGACCTCTAATAACTCGAGATGACAACTCAGGTAAGGTTCAATTAAGAGACAATCAGGCTTTGCAAAGTGGTCAATTAAGCACAAAAGACAGTAATGAGCAGTGCCGGAAAGGGGAGGGGAGGGGAGGGGGAGGAGGAGGAGGAAGGGGAAAAGGGGGTAGTGGAGGTAATACAGGTTGTTCGTCGGGTTTCTGTGTCTTTATGAAGGAGTTTTGAGGGTGTGTTTATGTGAATATCGATTTGAATATGGGGCACACGTGCATACACAAACACAAACATACATATACATATACATACACACACGCATACACACTATCACACACATATACAAGCATATATATATATAAATATATATATATATATATATATATATATATATATATATATATATATATATACACATATAATATATGATATATAAATACATATATCATATACACTTATTATATATATGTATATATATAATATATGAATACACACACATACACACAGATATATATATATATATATATATATATATATATATATATATATATATATATATATATATATATATATATATATACGTTTGTCTGTATCCAGTATATATGTTGATATAAAGAGATAGATGGATAAATAGATAGATAAGTATATATAGATTGACTGATGGATAGATACAGATACAAGCAAATATACAGATATAGATTGAGAGGCAGATAAGTATTCAGTTAGGTAGATACATAGGTAAAAGTTAGACAGATTGTTAGGTAGGTAGACGGACAAACAACAGTATGATAGATAGACAGATAGACCGAGAGAGCGAGAGGAAACGGACGGATAGAGAGAGACTAAAGGAGGAAAGCGATAACCAAAGACTGATCCTGTCCTTCTCCTCCGCCTTCCAGCCTGCAACGTGACCTACTACGGCGAGGTCGGACGCAGCTACGAGATCGACCTGCGGGAGTCGGACAACCTGAAGATCCCCTTCACGTGCGAGCTGACCTTCGTGGCCGCCGGAGACATCTACGGCGACCTCGTGCAGATCGTGTTCCGTGACCTTACCCTGGGCACGTTCAAGTCGCACCACGTGTGCGGCTGCCCCAAAGGCCACCTCAGCATCGAGGAGAGCCACCGCGGCAAGATCGGCGGCAACTGGTGCGGCGGAACGAACACACACAACGTGTACTACAGCGAAACAGACACCGTCACCGTCACCGTCAAGGTTCCTCCGCCCGAGGAGGAAACGGACGGCGAGAAGAAAATCCGACTGCGCCTCCTCTACAAGTTCCTGCTGAGCGCGGAGTCCATCGTCAGGTACGGGCCCTGGAACAGCGCCAAGTACCTGGGCGTCCACAAGCCCGACACCATCTGCGACAGGGTCTTCAACTCGTGCGACCGACGCAAGTGTCGCGTGCAGTCGCCCAATTACCCCGGACTCTACCCTCGAAATCTGACCTGCCAGTACGTCATCCGCCAGGACACGGTGCCCCACGGCCGTCACGCTCTCGTCAGCGTGGGTCAGGCCGAGAGAGGGCGCGTCCACATCAAGCACACCGACGCCTCCTGCGACGACAACCTGCAGCTGTGGCTCGATGAGGACTGCGAAGTCGTGGGCGACACGCTCAGCATCTACGAGATCCAGGGAGAAACGCGCAGGCTCCTCATGAAGTTCTGCGGCGGCGGGAAGGTACCCCGCATCACAGCCAGCGGGGCCGAGCTGCTGCTTGTCTTCCAGACTTCCCCTTTTGACAACATGTACTTCGATCCTTCCGTCAACACTCACCCAGGCTTCGAGCTCGACGTCGGCGTCGTCTTCGTTCCCAAAAAATCCCTTCTGTACGCAAACCAGAAGTGCGAGTTTGAAATATCGAGCTTCGAAGCTGCCCGCGGCCACTTCGAGAACGTTGCTCACTCATTGCCAAAGAAAAGCAACTGCTCCTACAAGTTCCGTGGGCGCCCGGACGAGGTCGTCTGGCTGTACTTCACGCGGCTCAAGGGAATCGACACTCAGCCTCCTTCCATAGACGGCATACCCTGCCGGACTCGTGTCACACTGATAGAAGGCGTCGAGGAAGATGGTGAGGTGTTGGAGAACACATGCGGACCGATGGGGGTGCGAGTGTGCCACAGGGAACAGCTTGGCCCTGGACGCAACAGGACACGACCTTGTGGAAGCACTGAGAGTTATCTGACAAAAGGTTCGCATGTCACTCTCACCATCCATTATGTGTTGCCGTCGACGGTCTCGAATTTGCAGTTCCGGCTTCATTATGAATTCGTGTATGCAGGCCCCCGAGCAGCTGCCCTGAATCGCCCTGAACCCTGTGACAGACAGATCAACAGTGAACGTAGCAAGAAAGGACTGCTGACGTCACCTGCCAACAACCTCCTCTACGGGAAATTCGGGGCCACAAGTCTCAAGTGCAAATATCACCTGCAAGGCAAACCCAATGAAGCTGTTAGGATTACCTTCATATACTTCTATGCCCATAACTCTTCGTGCCCGGGCCGGGACTCACCTTTACAGGCGTGTGGACGTCCTAAGGCCATGGAAGGTCGAGGAGCAAGACTAGAAGTGTCAGAGTGGCCGTGGCCGGGGGTGGAGCTTCCCCAGGCCTGCATTTGCAAGGGCTTGTACCTTCCTGCAACCCTGCTGTCCTATTCTGCCTCTGTTACCATCACGTTCACCGTCATTGGGATGGATGTCTTTGATGACTTTTCACATTTCAACTTTGAACTGGAATATGAGTTCGTGGAAGTGGAAGCATGTGAAGAAGACCGCATTGTGACGGGCGAGGCAGGCACTCTGAGCCTGGCACTGCGCCCTCCTCCAGGGCCATGTCGTGGGCACCCTTGGCTCCTTCAACCTGCCTCAGATCACTTCCTGTTGGTGTCAGTGCCAGGTCGTGCAATCAGAGGTGGTTTGCAAGGCATAGCACACGGGCGACTGGTAGCTACAGAAGATCCCATGCCTCCTGCAGAGTGCCAGAGTCCTGAACTCCATGTATATCAGCCGGGAAATCCGCGGCCTCTTACTGCTGTGTGTGTGTCTCCAGGCTCTGCGGAGACTGTGCACGTTTTCTCGGAAGGATTTAACGAGCCCCTTTCATTAGACTATCTCGGAGAGGCTGCACGATCCCTTGTTGTGGTCCTGCTGAGCAGACCTGCATACCTCTCAGGCCAGTCTTCACAGCAGCAGCACAAAGCTGTGGATGTGCAGTGGGTGGAGGCAGCACCAAGATGGCTTGCAAACCGATGTGCAACAGAATGTCCTGCTGTGCATGCTTGCATCAGTGCCTCCCTCTTTTGTGATGGCACGTGGCACTGTCCTTCGGGTGCCGACGAGGCTGTGGTGACATGTCTCATGGCTCTGTCACCTTGGCTCTGGCTGGCCTTTGGGCTGGCTGTCGGCTGCATCTCCGTGCTCTCGAGCTGGTGGGGCTGGACTATGTGGAAGTCCCGGCGCGGCCGCAGCTCCACCGGCTGCAGCGAGGAGGTTCTCACCCCCGGCCACCACGAGTCGCCCCCGGAACCACCCGAGTACCCTGACTGCATCGACGTGGACTTCGAAACGACCGTCTGACAATACGCGCCCCGTGGGGACGATGCTCCCCCGGGGCTGGCTGCACTTCTTGGTCGTCTTGCTGCGCTCATCAATGGCTGGAATTCCTCACGCCACGGCCAGTCTAGTGACGGTGGCCGTCCGCGGCTTGCGCACAATGGCACGAGGAATACCCCTGCGTACCAGTATAATGGAGTTCGACGTCTGCCTGATCTTCGGCTGCCTAATGGGGCTCACAACCCAGGGGTCCGACTGTCCAATGGGACACACAGCCCCCCGCCACTGCTTAGTCCCAAGAAGGAGAAGATGCACCTCAAGGCTCGCGAGAATGAGAAGCCAGCTTTGAGTCCTTCCTCTGATAAGGCCAACAGTCCTTCATGGAGTCTAACGAAGGTGAGTCATGACGAAGAAACAGAAGATAGCAAAAGCATCACAAGTGGCAAGCAAGAATCCTATAAGCCTTTAGAGGAGATGGAGTGGCCCACCTGCTTCCCTGCCCCGCCCAGCAGTCCGAGCAGCACGGGCTCCTCCCCCTCGCGAGAGTATCTGCACGAGATTTCGCCCTCGCCGCCGCCCGACTTCCGGCACGAGACCTCCCCGATCCCCCCAGGAGACCACCGCCATAACACAGCGACGCTCCCTCTGTCTCACCTGCGCCCTGAGTCGTCTCCACCGCACCCTCGGCCCCCTCACCCATCGCCCTCAGGCGGCTCCTCTTCGCCAAATGGTCTGGAACAACAGAATTCCCCTTCACCGCCACCGAATTTCCGTTGTGGTATGTCACCAAGGCATGGCGAGCCTCCTGTTGTGGTGAAGCTCGTGTCAGAAGCTCAACAGAAAGCTCATCGCACGCCCTCGCCGAATGGAAATCGTAGGTATGAGAGGCCGCCCTCACCACTTGGAGCTCGGCACTATGACAAGCCAACATCGCCTGCTGGAATTCGTCGGTTCGAGAGGACGCCCTCGCCGCCCATGGACTACCGGTGGGTGTATGTAAACGACCTGCAACGTCAGACGTCAGTGTCGCCGCGCTCTGTCACCTCTCCTTCGTCAGGTGACCATCGACAATCCTCAGCATCATCTCCCAGCCAGGCGAGCGTCATCATGCTCTCCCCAGCCAAACTGCAGTACGACGCCATTTCTCACCACGCCCCTCGCCCTGTCGTCACCTCCGCGTCCCCCAACACCTTCAGGCTTCCTAATTCATCCCTGTACGGCCAGTCCACCACGTCTTCCTCCTCCACCAACACCTCCCAGCAGGACAGCTCCTCCCTCATCCTTTACAACTCTTCCCCATCACCTCCTCTCCCCAACCTCACTGACCAGGACTCCCCGCTCTCCCCGAGGTCAGGCGACGTCCGGGAGCTGGTGACGCAGAGAGCCGTCACTCCGCCCTTCCCCCTCACTCTAGATCCTGAGGTGTACGACACCCCCAGAACCCAGCCCGAGACGCCACGCACTACCTATAGCAACCCTAGAGCCCAGGTCGAGACGCCGCGCAGTGTGTACGACAACACCCAACCACTGCTGGTGAACCGCGAGGACCACCGCGTGCGGTTTGCGTGCGAAGTTCCTGACGTGGCGAGGAGCACGGCGGTGCAAGGGAGAGACAGTGAGAACCCTCCCACGCCGCCTCCCATTCCGGAGTTCTTTGAAAACGACGACGACGACGACGAAGACGCCGTAGCTCCGACGCCTCCGCCGTTGCCGAAATTCTTCGACGCGGAGAGTTCGTCATCGCTCTCGCCTCCCACGGGGGAAGATACGGCACCCGTGTCACCGACGCATACTGAAATCCGGCACGACGTCTCGCCTCCTCCACAGAGCGAGGTGCAGTACACCGACGTCCAGCCCGTGTCCGAGCACAAGCATAGATGTCTGCTGACGCACCCGCAGTTGAGCGTCATACAGGAGAGCCCGTCGCCGCAGTCACACTCTGACAGCACACATGACAGCCCGTCGCCTCCACATCAGAGACTGAAGACGCCGTCGCCGCCGTCAGAGCGCTCGGGCGCGGCGGACACTGAAGGGTCGCCCCAGTCAAGCACGGACGGCAGGGAGCCCGAGAGTCCGCCTCCGCAGCCGCACTTCCACATCAATACTGAGAGTCCACCTCCACAGCCGCCATTCGACATCCACACAGAGAGTCCGCCACCACAACCACAGCACGGCAAAGACGACGAATCCTCCTCGTCCTCGGAGACTTCCCCGGGAGCAATGGCTTGCAGTCCGAAGGAGGAGGAAATGTCCTCCTCCACCTCACCGCCTCCATCTCAGCCAACCTCCTCGACGAACGAGAAGACGAAGGAGAAAGAAAAATCTCCTCCACCCTCAAGTGAGAAGGAGTCCTCCTCGACGTCGTCGAGTAAGAAGGACGGCTCGTCCTCCTCGACGTCGTCGAGTAAGAAGGACGGCTCGTCCTCCTCCTCTAACAAGAAGGAGGAGAGTAGGCCTACCTCCCCCGAGCTGTACTTCAGCCTCCCGGACAACTGGCCCGCCTACCCGCCCTTCCTCTTCGGCGACTCGGACTTCCCGCCGCCCTGATCGCGCGGCGGCGGGACTCGTGGCGGCGCCACTCGGGGGGGGAACCTGCGGGCGGTGCTGACCGCAGCCGGAGACGCGGGAGAGAAGACTAAGACTCGCCAGGCTGGCTAAGTCAGTGGAAGTAAGAAAAAAAAAGAGAGGAAGAAAAAAGAGATCGAACAGTGTTGCAGGAAATTAAATGAGTGTGTGATTGCTTACCAAGATCTTGTTTACACTACAGAACATGGAGTGATAAAAGTACATATGATACATATGATATTCATGAAAATAAACAAGTCTGTGTTTACACACTGCAAATGCAGCAACGCGTGTTCACAAGTGTGTACATTGCTTAAGGAAAGAGGATTCTAATGGTACAAGTGAACAAGAGCTTTCCATAATACATAAGTGAAGTGGGATACTTGTTACACAGACAATGAGGTAAACTCTTTTCAGTGATGTGTTCAGTACCTGGCGGAGTTGACGGAATTTCCTGCTTCTCCGCATAAGATGATCAACCATGACGCTTTAGTGACGAAATAGACTCGAACTTTATGCCGAGAGTGAACGATTCATGAAAAAGAATACGAACTTATTCCTATTCTGTTGAACTGGAGAAATGTATTTCTTTAGGGTTGTGATATTACTGATATTTTTAAGATGATTTTGTTGACACAAAAGAAATAATAAATCCTATGGAAATAAGTGTGATATGCATTATATTAGAGAAAGCACTTGAACGCAAGGAAGAAGTCTATACTTTAGGTGTTCGGGCATTACAGAAAACGGATTCTCATTGATCGACTAGGGCAGACTTAACTGTATATACAAACAGATGTGTATGTAAAAAGAAAAGATAAATATATGTCTATAAAATGAACAAAAGAATGACGAACTCAAACAAGAATCAGAGGTCTTTCAAATTGAGGATGACTAATCATCCCCCTCCCCCCCTCCCTCCCTCTCGGCCACGAAACAGGCGGAAAGCGAGAGTGAGGGGAGGAGGAAGGGCAATAGGAGGGGGTGGGGGAGGGGGAGGCAGGTGTGGGAGATTCACTGCACGTAAATGTGGGCGGGTTGTGGGTGACTGTGGGAAGGGGACGGCGAGTGTGAGCGAGCGTGTGGGTAGGTTTGGTGAATAAGCATTACTTATGAGCGTAGGTGTGGGAGAGAGTGTGGGCGGGAGATCTGTGGGTAAACTATTTTTTCGGTAATTATGTCGTCGATGTGTATATTTCTTCGTATATTTTTCTCTTCTTTTCTGTTTAATCCAAATAAAAGCCAAAATCTGCCAAGGTCTCCATTGGGAGCTGTATGTATGTGTGTAAAGAGGTGTTATGAAGTGTTAAAAAAAAGATGTTACAAGATGTTATGATGCTTACCTTAAAGATATATATATATACATGAATATGTATTTACTGTTGATGTTTAGATGTCTTGGATGACTTAACTTTTTTTTTTCTCTCTTTTTTTGACCCGGTCCTTTCTTTTCCCACATCTCACCTGGCCTCATCTCGCCTCCTCCTTAAACTTACCCCCCCTTCAAAAATTGCCCCCCCCCCACCCACCTCCCGCTACCTTCAAAAACCCTACCCTCGAAAGTTTCTTCGTCTCCTATACTAAAGGCTTTCCCCAAAGTTGCCCTTCTTCCTTAACATGATCCCTCTCTGTCCCGCCTCCTGAATCTGCCCCTCCTTCCCTCCTAAACTTGCCCCTCCTTCTAAAACCGCCCCTTTGCTCACTTTATCCCGCCTTCGAAAGTTACCTCTTCCCTCCGGGCTTTCCCTCCTCCTAGAATTCCCCTTGATGCTACAGCTTCCCCTTTCTTCTCCTCCCTCCTTACCTTACTTTCTTCTCGTACATTTCCCTCCTTCGCACCCTTTCCCTCCCTTGATCTAGGCACTTCTCACTTGAGTCTTTCCCTCTTTCTTAACCTCCCTCTTTCCCTCTACAGGTATCTTTTCTTTTCCCCCTTTCACGCTATTTAGACATTCCTCTATCCCTTAAATACTTTCCCTTTCTCTTAATCTCTTAGTAAGCTTCCTTTGCCTCCAAATACATTTTTTTCTTATTCGTGTTTCTCTCTTTCCGAACTTCCCTCATTCCCTATACAGTTTTCTTCTCACCTACGTGTATCTCCCTTTTCTTTTTCTTTTCTTTTGTTTTCTTCTATTCTTTTCTTGTTTTTTGTTTTCGCTTGCCTCTTGGGCTTTACAATCTTTATTGCCTGTTGTACATCCTATATCCGTGGCTCTTAAACTTTGTCGTGTATCGGATCCCTTTTTTTGAAGCTGTTTATTCTTCCTTCCCTCCCTTGGTAAGACAGAATAGACGAAAATAAATATTGAGCACTTTATTCATGATATAACTATTTGAACTTCACTTTGTATGGCCTTATTTGTGCATATTCCTCTGATAATGATATTAACTTCTGTTCTACTTTAAGAAATGCAATTTTTTTTATCTTTATTATCAAGTATTATCGCATTTTTATCAAGGAGAAGATGCATTCGACATACTGTCAATGTTGCGTAAATGCAACACATCCGTATAACATCACTGCATCTCAAATTATCCTCATCAGCTGTCTTCTATAACATCTTTATCGTCGCTTTTATTCGATATCCATCTTTCTTTTATCAAATAATGGCCATTGCCTGTCTGTTAATTAGGTAAATTCACACCATCCACATAAAACCTCTCTCTCTCTTTTATCACATAATCCTCCTTTTTTCCAAAAATATTTACCTATCTGATATTAGATAATTAAATTCACCAACGAGTCAGTTATCAAATCCTTAGCCCGTCAGTCTTGAAGCAATTATCCTCACCGATCTGTCAACCTGTCATGCGTCATCACAGACCTGCCAAGTGCGTCTTCGTCTCGATAAAGAAAGGAGGAAAGAAAAAAAGTAATTTACCTTCTCTTGTGTCTTCTTTATATACTTTTTTTTTCTTACTACAAATAATAATTATGATGATGATGATAATAATAACAATAATAATAATAATAATTATAATGATATACATTCTCCTATCATCCTCGACGCTCAACTACCTCCCCTTTCCTGCTTCCTCTTTCTTCGTAAATTCTTCTTATATTTCTTCCTCTTCCGCTTCGTCTTTCTTTTCCTTTTTCCTTCTTACGTTTTCCCTTCCTCCTTTCCGTTTAGGCCTTCCTCCTCCTCCTCCTCCTCCTCCTCCCTGATCCCTGCCCCCCCCCCCTCTCGTTTCGAAGCCTATTAACCACAGCTAACCTTCTTCCTTTTCATCCTCACCCTTATTTCAGTCCATGATTTAATTACTGTTGATATTTCCTCTCTCTCTCTTTCTCTCTTCTTCTTTCTTTCCCTCTTTTTCGTCTTACTTTTCTTCTTCCTCTTCATCCTCTTCCTCTTCCTCTTTTTCGTCTTCTTCTTTTTCTTCTTCTTCTTCTTCCTCTTCTTCCTCTTCCTCCCCCTCTTACTCTTTCTCCCTTTCCTCCTCTTCTTATTTTTCTTTATCCTCAGATTCTGCCTTCACGCTCCCTGACCCGCCATCCCTCCCCAATAGCGAGGTCAGAAAGGTCAAGGCATAAGATCGTGACCTTTTCTCATCTTTATCTGACTTTCATTATATGTTTCTCTCTCTATATATATCTACCTATCTATCTATTTCCCTCTCTCTCTTTCTCTCTCCTTTCTCTCTTTCTCCTCTCTCTCTCTTTCTCTCCCCCTCTCTCTCTTTCTCCCTTTCTCTCTCTCTCTCTCTCTCTCTCTCTCTCTCTCTCTCTCTCTCTCTCTCTCTCTCTCTCTATCTATCTATCTATCTATCTATCTCTCAACGCCTTTCCTTTATTTCTCCTTATTGTTTCTACTTCCCTTGTATATCATATCCCTCTCTCCAGCCCTCCCCTTTCGTACGATTTTAACCCCCTGTATTATTTACTTTATTTACTTAATTACAGTATTCGTCCCATTTCCGCCCTCTTCCTACGCCCTCCTTGCCCAATAACGTCAGTGCAATCTATGTGCACAAAACACCTTTCCTTCCTCATGTTTCAAACCCTCTCCTTAGCTTCCACCTTTTAATTAACCTCTCATTACCCTCTTTCCCATTCCCTCTCCCCTTTCCCCTCTTCGCTATCCTTAGAAGATGAGTCTAAGTAAATTTCCAAAACCAACCCCTTCGTCCCCTCACTATAAAAGCCAAATTTGCGTCTCCGAGCTGTCATCTGCGTTGATACATGGATACATAGTTTCCACACAACAGTACCTGCTGTAACGCTACATACAAAGCTACCGGGCAGAAGACATTGCCATATAACACATACCATATCTACAAATAGACAATGATGATGATATTAACAGCAACACCAAAACGTTCTTCAAATAGATAATGATGACGATATTCAGAACACCAAAAACGTTCTACTAATCCTTTTTCTTTTCTTTTTTTTTTTTCTTCCTCTTCTTCTTCGGATGTTTCTACTTCCTTCCCTTTTAAAAACCGGAGTCCGACAAATTTCCCTTTAAACCACATGTGCACGTTTATACAACCAGCTGTCACACCACCTACGAGCGCACCCGGTAACACCAACACACACATATAACAGAGAACATCTAAAGTCTGACCACCAGTTCCAGTGTCTCACAGAACTTACCGAAGGCCCTGAGACCTAGCGAACAAGCCTAGCATCTCTCAAAGGGGCTCGGGGTTTGGACAACACCCTTAGGCCCCGACGAAAGCCACTAGAGTCTGGTAAAGAGGTTAGAGAGGTAGTCTCAGGGGGCTTGTTTTATAGCCCTGGGAGCCTACCTGACAGACCTAGGCGTTCGAGGGACGGGTCTAGTCTAGACGATGGTCCCAAATCTGAAAAAAAATCTATATAAATGAAAATAAAAAAAAATAACCGTGAAGTACTGACATTAAAAAAAATCAATGTCAAATCCGACAAATATGTGTAAATTTTATATATATATATATCTCCACTAACATGTTACTCTGATTAAATAGGGGAAGTTGAAGACCAAAAAAAATGT